CTCCTTACAGACTATCCACGATATCTACCCGTCTGCCCAACCTCCTTTCTGCAGCAGTGGTGCACGCACGTTGGCCGCCGCAGTCATAAGACTGTACAGGCCGTACTTAAACGGGACTAGTGAATATTCCGATCATGATCCTACTTTTTCTTTGAGCCGACGCCTCCTCTCATCTCGGACTGTCCTTGCCTGCACATTCACTGTCGTATTGAATCTGAGTTGATAAATATTCCATGACCATTATTTCGATAATGTGCTTTTTAAATAGCGGTGACAGCGGCGCTAGTGGATTTCAGCGCGTCATTGACCAATATAATAGTCGATGATACTACCAAATGTTACCGCTGTCGCTGCAGCTCGATCTGTCGTCCATACGTACGTAGCATGCACTATTATCATCGTCATTACGCATAACGAGTGAAGCACCTGAATCGTGGCGGCTAACAGCCGAAGTGTAGGAGGTCTATCTAGCAAGTAAAACGAAGATGCTTGATGGCCGACCACGGAGTCGAACTCCGAGAGATCGACAGCCTGAGCCGCGGCCTCGCTGTGATTTTCTACTACTACTACTACTACTACTACTACTACTGCTGCTACAAGTACGATTACCACAATTACTAGCCGAAGGAAGGCCGAAGTCGAAGAGAAGGAAGAAGAGGAACGATGTGCGGTTGTTGTACTGCCGCCCCTATTCGCTAAATGACAGCTCAAGTCAGCGATGACTACTCTCACGATCACGGCGCTGCTTAGCCTCAATACCCGAGTTGGCAGGTTAGTATCTTGTTAAAACTTCGTTCTGTCCCTATCTCTAACTAACAGTGTTTCGCAGCGTTTACCGTCTCTGATATTGTGGCCGTTGGCTAGGTCAAAACGGGAAGTCAATTCTGGTCTGCGTTGATACCATCGTGCCCAGTTGTAATAGAAGAAAATTTTCTGACACATTTGGTCATCCGACTCACCCGCATTAACGCAATCACTCCATGTTCTACGCGTATTATGACCCAGTCGAGCGGGACCATGGCCATAGAGCAAAATGAGGAAAGACGAATAGAAATCTACCAGGGACACGCACGCCAATTTGAAGCAGATCGCTCGACCCGGTCGTCTAGACTCGGTGGAATCGACCGAGACTAGACGGAAAAGACGGCGCCGTTCTAGAGGAGACTTGTTGGAATGGACCTGAAAAGGTTAGCAGTTAGTCAGGGGCAGTTAAATGACGTTAGCCTAAGTAGCTCGCACAGAAGCAGAACGGAAAGTTACGTACAACAGCTTATTATCTCGATGCTACGATGTTGTACAGCATATATTGAGGATATTGTCGACGACAATGACGATAAGGGTGGCTTTAAATTAAATCATGTACAGGTAAGTGTGCACAGTTGTCACTGCGCACACTTACCTGTACACGATTAACATATAAGAAGGCGGAAATCGGGTTGAATGAAGTTGAGAAAAGTACAGCGCCATTCTATGCACAGCGATAGACTTCAGCGTCGTCTTTTAATAAGGTTAGATTATATTTTTAAACGGCAACCGTGGTAAATTAATAAAAGCCCTTTGTCTTTGAATAGGGTTAGCATACGTTACCTAATCCATTACACGAACGCAGCATTTATTCTCTACTATCTACTACGATCTGTTTAACATATCAAAACATCTATTAGTCCTGGCTACGCCCGGTTATGTAGTGTCGATTAAAATCGTTCTAAATTTAGGAAGCTTAGGCCCAGTCCAGCAGAGTCTCTCGGGTCTAAGACAAATAGTACTTTTTAATTCAGAATTTTCAGATGCTAGCCCACCAAACCTAAGACAAATCGTTTCATCGAATTTGGTCAGAGGAGCTATTTGGGTGCAACGCTTTCAATCTCTTCAGCCTATGAAGCGCTTTGCGTATCCTGTGAAAATACTCAACGCGACAAAGTAACATTGTAATATTACAAAAAAAAGAAAAAAAAAACGCTGTTGACGAATATACGTAATAAGAACACGTATGTACCAGATTTGTCATTGGTCATACGACTCTGCAGTAGGAAATAAATAGATTGGATAAGCCGAGTTTTTCTATTACTGCCCGAAAGTTGGCCACGGTTTCGCTAAACTTCAAAAGGTTACGAAGCTGCGTTGCATTTTGTTTCTGTTATTCCATCTTATTTCTATCGTCTGTTGTCCTTAGCCGATGTAAATAGGCCGGTTCTCTTTTTTGCAGTGACAACGCTACTATCTAGGGCAAGATACCGCTACTTCACTAGATACACAGCTCACCAAGTAAACGCCCTATTATACCAAGTTCATATATCATGGAAAGAGTGCCAGCAGGACCTGATTGTACTATTTACTCAAATATATAGCGTCGTTCTCATAAGCTTCGTTCCGGTTTGGGCATACCATCTTCTATGTAATGTCGCGCCTATGCTATTATTGTCAAAATAGCAATGGTACAAACATTTGCCCCAGTGACTGGCACATGTTTGCTTGCAAAGAGTAAAACGGAAACCGACGCGGGACGCAACATTTACATACACAAAACGAAGACACCGCATTGCCAGAGGTAAGACAATGGAAATATTAGCGTGCAACGCAGTCAGCGATCGATTTGTGTAGAGGGTACATCCGCCGATTGCTCGAAGGTATATATGTATACGTATATAGGGAGTAACACTTAGTTGGATAGCTTCAATTTGTTTACATGGCAACAAGAAAGGTAGTTACTCAGCGGGCGACGATTATATACACTCCACCTTATGCTGAAAAACGTCATCAATCGTTGGGGTAGCTATTCGAGTCCAACGCTTAGTTTACAACAATTAGTGTTTTATAAGCAACAAGTCCTCTGTCCGGTACTACTAGTTTAAGTGTAAAACCTGAGACCCGGGCAAGTTGAACTCAGCAGACCATAAGGGATGCTTCCTGAAAAGCCTTAGATTGAATTCGAACAATCTTGAAAGTAAATAATTACATTTTAATAGATAATAACGAAATTATAAAGGATATCTGTATTCTCTGAAATTACAGGTAAAAATGCTCGACTAATCGGTCCTTAATGATGTCCTGCACTATTGCTCAATAGAATGAACATTTCATCAACACGTTATTTAGAGATTCTCTTTCTGGCAGACGGACGCATGTCTCGCCGGTATTCTATATCATTACTGGACCACCATTGCACGCCGAGCACAATGAGACGAGTAAACTTGCCATCTATGCATTGGGTACATGGATGTCTTTGCCATTATGATGATGACAGATTAGTTATATGTAATGCCAATAAATCAAATTTTATTCATTCATTTTTGCCAGTAATAGTCGAAGGCTTCATAAATACAGCTATATATATATATATATATATAACTTGAGCGGCTAAAGCTGACGCTTTACCGAAAAAATTGTCAAGACATGCTACAGGACTGTTCCATAGCAGCTTATCGGAGAAATCAAGAATAGACTAGAGACGGTATATCAACTAGGTACATCGTGAAAATAAACAATCCTTAGTCGCGTTATTACGAACATCAAATGTTATAGAAACGATCGAACGTAGAAGCGAAGAGTTCGGGATAGATAACGCGTATCTTTTTGGGTGCGTTGCTATAGTATCCGAGAACGACAACAAAAAACAATCACTAGCCGTCACTTGTCCGCCAAACTTTAGCGTTGGCAAAGATAAAATTATAAGGATGCGAGATTATGGCTATAAGAAAAAAATTAATGTTGATAGCTACAAAAGATCTGCTCGTCTAGTTACCATGCTTGTTAACAAAATTCCCGACAAGCAAGACCTCCGCTGACCAGACGCTTCGAAGTTGGGGAAGTTATTGGTACGATCCAGAGGAGCAGATTCTGGAAACTCGTTAGCACATGACGGATTCTCGGAGGTGAACGAAAAAAAAGAACAGTCAAATACTAAAGGGAGCTCAAGAGAACGATAGATTACAATTATGTTCAAAGAAGGTCAAAGAGGCTTACAATTCTGTGTAGTGGTTATTTTTTTTTTATCAATTTTTTGCGGTCGTTCTCATAAATTTAAATATATGCAAGCAAAGCAGAAAATTTATTTTGGTCAAAATGATTTATGACTCTCCGTTAATTACCATCGCTAAAGTTGGCAAACTGTAGTCACACATGTCAATGAAAAGGGGGTAGTCATAAAGTTCCCCCGACTTCCATTGTTGTTCATTTAGCGCCGCATAGGCTATCAGCGATACTTCTGATGGCGACGTGTTACGTCACGATCACAAGAACATAATGAGTATTTAGAATACATAGCGAATACAAACATTTGTTTTATGCCGCCAAATCCGCACGGTCATCGTGTTTGTGGCGGTGCATTCACGATTCAACTGTTAATGAAAAGTACTTGTGCCATATTTGTTTATTGAAAAATGCTACGGTGAAAACGCGAAGTGTTCGGTCGGTGTGGGCCTTCTTTACTGAAGTGCAGGTTCGGCGAAGAATGACGCACGGTGCTCCTAATAATGAGGCACTAAACCAATTCATTAACGTTTTAAGCCTACTGGTTACTCAGAAGAGGATAAGTGTATAAGGATCTATATTTTAATAATAGGTGGTGTTATTACCAAAGAAAAGCCAGGCACTCCGCCTTTGGGTTTGGATGAAAACTAATTTTAGGATACCGACATTCATTTTTTAATGGCTGCTAGAGCCAGAAGCGAGTTGGCCTGTAGTGTATCGGATCAATTTTAACTAGGACAAGTAACATCATGATATTCAAGCACGTCAAGCAAGCTTGGAACCTGCCTGCGAACTAAACGTCCAAAATTTAATGATGGCCTGTTAGATTGGCTAGAACAAGGCTGTCTGCACTTCCTAGCCAATAATCGGCCAATCCGGTTGAATGTGATAGAAGCCACTATCTTTTCAACAAAGTTTCACCACATTTATATATCTTCATCAACCAACCTATCAGAAGTTGGGCACAGAGCCCTATGTATCATAGGGCTCTGTGCCCAACTTCTAATAATAATATTACAGTTGTGCTCCTGTACGTGATTGTGTGATTTGGATCGTCCTTTTCGCTTAATACAACAAGGATCATTTGTAGGCCCCGTTGATAGGAGCGAATCACCATATCAAGATGGGTTTACAGCAATATATTGGCTAAAAGTCAGAAATCGATACTCACTAGAGCCAAAGAAAGAAAAAAAAAAAATAACGAATCCATAGATTCGTAACGGAAAATAAATGTTGATCTCAACTAGAAAACATCGTATTACGAGGAGGAAATGCCACAATCCTTCCACTCTGTTAAATGCTACTACTTCTGCAACAAATCCCTGTTATATTTGTATTTCTCAACGCAGACATACACACACTGGAGTTGTAAAAATCTAAATGAAATTTAATTACAAGAACACGCGTTCTAAAAAGACCTTCGCAATGATATCGTCGTATCCAGATTGGCCAAGGCGACTACCGGCTATCACAGGTACGTGGGTGGTAACTCTAGCCGACGATGATATATTAATAGTCTGTCAAATACTCCATTGTAGTCTCCTAGGCATCAATAAGGCTATATCCGTTTGACCCATTTATACGACCAGAAGCGAATTGATAATTCGAGGGGCCATTTTCCCTGTGATGGCATAATCCATCGGCCGAGCTCAGGTTCAATCAGCATTGTAATTGGGTGCCACGAGCTACTGGGTCGATCAAGCTTCGATCAGTTTCAATGGCTTTAAGGGCCTAGGTTGAACCCAGATTGGTCTATTGTACTGTCACGGAACTGAACTAACGCGAAGGCCAACAATCTCCTGAGTTCAGAGAGAAATTCTAAGAGGTTTTTTATTGTCGACGCATCGTGGAACGAATGTCAAGCTCACCTGCGGAAGAATGTAACGACAGGGCTTTACAATGGTTTGTTATAATGAAATTAACATACTAAATTAATAATCCAATGTTGTAATTGAAAATATGTACTCTGATTATCACAGGTATTGATATACAAAAAATGAAAATGACAGAAAGTATACGATGTTACCATAAGATGTGACTTTCCCTCAGGCTTTGCTCGCCAGCTTCCTCTTCACAAACGATTTCCATGTCAGCCTATCATAGGTGTCTGCTCTTTTATTCGTTCAACAAATCTGTGAAGCAATGGACAATAAACTGTTAAATTGTATAAGAGCAACAGAACCTATATAGTATTAAAATATACTGAGTTCGTTTGAACAGACGATCGTTCTTACACGTGAAGATCAACAAAATTAAATTAGCCATTTTCCTCGGTATCGGAAAGCTTTGAAGGCACTAACTCTCTATATTTCTATCGTTTTCAACAGCTAATCTTCTTCTATTCAGCTAGTCTTCGCTGGTCTAATTAGTTGAAGCAAACTCACACCATTGTTCTGCGATTCTAATCCACACGATACCACGTGTAGCTCGCAATAAGTGAGCACAAATAACCTCCTGTCGATGAGATCGCATGGCGACTAAGTAGTGTTTATTGATCATTATAGCACACGCGCCATTGGCTCTAGTAGCAATAACTTGTATTATATTATATAATACGAGCAAGTTTTTTTCGCTAGGTGGGATCGGTATTCTAGCGCTCGCTTGATTTCCTGCTTGCCCCAAGAGGCGCTGCTCTGCTTTACAGTTGTAGCCGTTGCGTTTGTTTAGCCAGAAAAGGAAACAAACTTTCCAATGCTTTGATTTTTCTTTACATTTCCATATTTTTGTTTGCAGCTGCGATCTAGATGCCTCGTCTACGTAACCCTCCGCGGGCGCCACTTTCATGGGTCCGCTAACGACGGTACCATCTAAACTTGGACGGCAACGTGGACCTAATACAGAGTGTCGAGATAAGCGCTTTAAGGGTCGGGACAGTGAGAAAGCTGGTAGCCACGGCGCTGCCAATGCACTTTTTTCTCCGGTTATGCTAACACCAGCAAACATCCTCATGTTTTATCCTACCCACCTCGACGAGGTATGTAGAGCCCCTTAGGAAAACTGGTCGAGGACCCTTTGGCCGCCTCACAATATTATAGTCACGGAGCAACTTCGTAACCGCGTCATCGTGATGGTAATGGTGATGCTAGCGCTTTTGCTGGGCCTTCTTCCCTCAATGCGGGACAGTCCCACTATCTTTTTCGTTAGAGCTATTCTCCAAGACGGTTTTTCTGGGATGAGTAAGGGGTCGATGGGGATTGGCTTCAGCCCAAAAGATAGCTTCCACTTTGACAAGATCGTTTCGTTTATCGTCGATCTTACCCCTAACTAATAGCGACCCGCTGTTGTGGCCTTGGTTTGAATTCGCAATGCTTTAAGGGCCTGTTGCTGCCTAAGTGGGACCAGCATTGTGGTTTGCGTCGTTGTAACAATTTAAGTCAGATAGCCGCTCTGCGGTTATCTAATTCGACGCTCATTAAGGTACGATGTGATGAGGATTGACCTTGTCTAGTACCGAAGATCTTTTGAAACACCGCCTGGCCGTTGTATGGTCGATTAGCGTTACGTCGCCATCTATGCATTGTTCGAAGCGGAAATTCCGACAGCTACGACCTGGTAAGGAAGGCATTGGAAGAAGGCGATGGATGGAGTTAATGGTGGTAATAAAACGCGGATTTATTACTGCAACGTCGTTGCCTGAAGAATTTTAGTTAGACGTGAACTGGAAGGGAATATTCCGTTCTTGTGTTATAGTTGTAAACACAACAGAAGATGACTTTGACACTCAAAAATATACAGACAGAAAATGATTATTTTGTGATCACGAACTTTTATTTCCAAATCAATCGAGATTTAGTACGTAGGCAAAAATTTAACATTTCATTTCTCCATGAAGTCTGTCATCATCCAGTAACACGACCGTTCATCGATGAGAATGCGTGTATTTCTGCGTATGACCTCCCGTTCACCTTTCGTGCGATTGCCCTTCCAAATAAATTAAGATTATCGTCCTCTCCCGCATTTCTTCGGGTGTGCATGTGTACTTGATCCTGATAGTACTAGTATTCGCGATCGAAGTGTACGTCTCCCGCCGCGGCTACCGTCTTTGCAACAGCAGCAGACAAGAAAGAAAGGCTGTACGCTGTCGGCTGAGGGCTGACGGTGCTACTTCGCTTCCTCTACCTTCGTTAGAACGGTCATTTGGCCCGTTGTCAATGGCCCATCCAGAAAGACTTCGCACGCGAAAATGCCATTTGCACCATCCGTAGACGAAGGGGCGTGTAGCAGTCCAGAAAGGCACACCTCCCATCCCACAGTGCGCTTAGCGTCAGACTAGGTTAGGTACTTTCGCGCCTGCTGCTGCATTGGCCAACCAACGGCTACTTCTGTCAGACGTAGCAATGCAACGACAGCAATGAAGTAAAAGGGGTGTACCGAGCTGCCCCTATTCACCTTTTGCGCAGTGCGCGCCACCGCTACAACCTAAATGCCCTTTTAGTTTTGCTCCTGTTCTCCGGATGGCGCCATCAGGTTACTACTTGTTTTCCTTTTCTTTTCTTTTCTTTTGGACCGTCGAACAATAAGGAAAAGCTTTTGGCATCCTTATTATTAGATAGATAAGGAAATTCTACTTCCGAAATTTGGGAACGCAAGATTCCTCTAAATTACATACATATTTGCCTATACTTGTAATGTGTTCAAATGAAAATACGTTTATTCCTAGCTAGGATTTGAAATTTGGGCATTTTTTTGCCACTCTCCGAAACAGGCGCACAAAAGAAGCTGGCAGGTGATGAATAAATAGTATCGCATGCATGAGTAACTAAGCAGCGTCAGCATCATCGAGCTTGTGCGACCAGATGTGCTTAAGAACGTTTATTTTCTATATTATATTGTTTCTATTCAACCAATTTAGTCTCAAGCCAGTATCCATAGCTGATGTGTAGATTCTCAAATAGGGTCTTCACTGTTGGGGATTCGCCTAACGGCCCCGATTAGAACTGCCTAAAAAGTCGCAACAGACGGCGCTTGCGGTTACGTACTGGTACCTCTCCGAAACACCTTCGCTATGGTCAAGTGTTTTCATTCTTGGCTATTCATAATAGACAAGTGGTGTGCCTTATGTGTGAGCTTCGTTAGGGGAGCCCTGTCCAGGATGGCCTGGTAGCCCTGTACAAATAACATGGTCGTACAACTAGAAGAACCAGTTTTTTTCTATTTTCAATGTGTGTTGCGAAAACTTGCAGCGAAGTTGGCTTGATTTTGTGACCGCATCTAATTTGTAGGAGTTGGAACAGGGTCGCAACTATAAAAGTTCGACAATAGTCTTTCAACAGCAATTCTTGTCCAGAGGAGCATACAGTCAAGCAATTTTTGAATTTTCGAGTGAATGATGTAGGAGTAGCTCGTTAGCATTATACATAACATAAGCATCCCACTGAGCTAATGCAGACTTTAAAATATATATTTTAGACTAACTTAAGGTAATCGGCATGTTGCATCATGGCAGCTCAGGTTTGGATGGCAGCAGTGACGCATTTAGTCAACACCATTATCTATGAACTATCCTTATAAATGTGTGAAGAACTGTAACACGCAAATTGAGATAGACGCTAAAATTATCTTTCGATCATATCGGTGCTCAGTGTCCAAATAAGAACAGTGGAGGAAATTAACTTGAAACCTACTTGATAACTTGTTCCAAGGATTGGTTACTTTAGCCAGGCATAGTAGGGACAGGTACACAGGAAGTGTCGACAGATTTAGCGTTGACCCTCATACTATTACTACTACTACAAATAATAGGGGACCTAGGTTAGTTCTATTATTAGTGCAGTACCGAGTGATAAAACCGATATCCATTGCACAGAAAACTGACTCTTTTTCGTCATCCTCATGAGAATCGTGTTGTATTTGTATCGTTAATCGTGGAACTTGTCGGTATCTATGGGGACAATGTCTGTCAATAAAGTAATATTGCATCAAACTGAACGTAGAGTAGTCCACAAGGGAATCCAGGACCTCTAGTGCTTAAATTATGCCACATCAATAGGCTGCCTTAATAAATATTTACAATTGTAACGTCTTAGTGACAAATATCTAACCTTTGAGATGGACTTTGTTACATCAAACCCTTTCGTGCACGCCTTCTTAGTCACACTACACCGCACCATATACAATAGAATACCATGTTCTTTAGGACAATTCCTAGGCCTAGTCTCCCACCGCCTCCGGCAGAATTTGGATATAAGAAAAATTACTGTTTCGTATCAGTTGTCTGATTTTATTGAGACTTCACATCGTAATTATATGCATTGCAGTTCGTCTTCGTTCATTTTTTTTCCGTTTCATGAAGAAGGGGCACGGATTATGGTCGGTACTACCGTATTCCCTTCGATCACAGTTATAATGAAAGAACTGCTCGTAGCAACTACAGAATTCGAACATGCAATGCTTAGGTTTAGATGGCAATATAATTTTACTACGTAGATATATAGCCTCCTGCTTACGTTTACGATAACGAGATGGGCTGTTTTAACCGGACGGTAAAATTGACTGCTGCGCGTTCCCTGGAAGGGTAACGGACATACAAAGTAACATAACGTAACTCGTTACGTAGTTGACGGATGCCGTCTGTCGTAATCTGCCAAACGCCAACCCATCACAATCTCAACGCTGTAGGCGGTGCAAAAGACTCAAACAAGGATTAAGGTTAGGTTAGTGTGTCACCAAATTATCACCTAACTAGATGTTAATAGACATCGACTGACACATTATTTTGCAATTTTATTTTTCTTATTGAGTGGCAACATAACGCTGCTCCGAACGCAGGGCCTTTGGGTGATTAAATGTACTTAGGTTTTACTCTAATCCGCCATCTTTTTGTTAACTAGAACAATGTACATTTAACCGTGAAATCTCAGCATCAGTAATGGTTACGAGTTACGGTTCGTGGCTGTATATATATATATATATATATATATATATATATATACATATATATATATATATATATATATATAGTGAGTTACTGAACGTCCAGCTGCTCTAGCGGAGCCTATGTGTAAATGTGTTCCCTCTCATGCCAACTCGGTAATCATGTCAGGTGCTACCTAATGCTTTTGACTAGCAAGAATCTAAACAGAGTTACCCACAAGTGCATGTACAAATAGGTACAACAGCAAAAGACTAAAATACTTACTACGCCACCAGTTTTTTATGCACTTCGAAAGGGTGTTCTTCTATACACACAGGCGTACCTTAGAAATCCGGCAGTAAAGCCATATCAAAGATTTGTAACAGTTAAGAGTCGATCTAAAAACAGGATTTCTTTCGCCGAAGATGGAGATTGTTCTAGTGGAGAATGTATATTTCTAGTCGACTGTCAGAAAAATTCAGAAGCTGTCAGACACCCGCCGAATGAACACATTAGTAAGAAAGTCCCGTTGTTGTTGTTCTTGCTGCTGCTGTCCCTCCTCCCCCTTCCGATGAACTGATTTCCCAATGCTGCCGATCACCACTCCACTTTCTTCTCCCGTGTAAAAGAGGTTACCTGCGACAAAAGGTTATATTGACAACATTAGAAACATCGCGCGAGTGGCTTCATTGAGCCACTGAGCAGTAACTGTAGCGGCAGCCAACGTAAAAACTTTTGTGTCCTGCCCCTGCGGCTGCAGGCACGACAAGGCGATAGAAGACAAGGTGGATTCCTACCTTCGAGAAAATAGATATGTTAAGCTGGTTTTGATCCCGCTCAATGTAATGGCTAAGCAGAGGAGTATATCTATACTCCCTTAAAGAAAGGCGTCCGCGTGGGCGGGTGAAAAGGACCCCCTATGAGTATAATACTCGGTTAGCAATGCTAATAGCTTCCGATAGGGTCGGCCCCTTTGGGGCTTTAGACGAATAAATAACTGAAGGCTCATTCAAAGTTTGGCTCGAAGGTTTTTAACAGATTGTGCTAATCGATCTGTCTAATGTATATTACAAAGTACATTTCGTCTTAACCGAATTACATTCGAATATGTATCGTTCTATTGGAGTATGATACAAACATTTGTTTTGTTTACAACTTATTCAGTTTAAACTTGGTAACCAGGTCGATTCGTCTTGCTTACCTTAATAATACGTACTTAATCCTATAGTCGAATTGGATTTACAGTGCAGATTTGGAAATGCACCTATAAATCGTTTTTGATGAAAACTAAGCAAACAGGACACGTTAAAAACACTAATATGCGTTTTTTGTGGGGGGGGGGGGGGAGAAACCATGCTATGATAGATAAAAATAACGATAATAAAATCAAATAAGGCATAGCGTTCTTCGGAAGAAGCAACCTTATCTTATTATGCCCTTATTACGAATTGGGGAAACCGTTATACTGGCGA